TGATGAGTGGGTGTGTGGGCGGGGCGGGGGTGGGGTGTGGGTATGAGAGTCGTGAGTAGGGGGTGGAGGGATGAGTGGGTTGAGCGGGAGTGATGCGTGTGTAGGAGGGTGTAGAAGTGATGAGTGGAGAGTGGTGAGTGGGAGTTGGGGAGTGAGGAGTGGTAATTGTGAGTGATGTGTGAGTGTAGGTGGGAGGAGATGGGCAAGAGGAAAAAAACAACCAATACATGTTGTTTGAACACAGTACATGTATTAAGCTAAATCAGAACTGTAAGCTAGAAGGTCGGAAGGGGTTCTATGTGTGGTTTGTGTTTCTGTTTCTTTGTTATCGTTTTTCCTTTCAGGTTTTTGTCAAATTATAACTAACAAATCTGTCTATAACTTCTGAACGAAAGTAATCATGAATATAAAAATATGACTTACAAACTCGTGATATCTGGACGCAAAACCTGTACTCTATGTAATGTGTGAGAACACAGAGACAAAACACTGTCGCGTAACACCCCCAGACACGCTGTTTAACAATCCAAGAACAAACTACAATAAAAAATTCAGGCTGTATTTTAAACAAACAAAAACGCAAAAAAATATTAAAAACTAAACTAAACAAACAAAACAACACCCCCCCCCCAAAAAAAAAAACAGCAGCTAAAAGACAACAAACAAAAACAAATACAAAAACAAAAACAAAAACTCAGAAAACAAAACAAAACCCCCACAACCCCAGCCCCGAAAACAACAAAACAAACAATCAAACAAACAAACGCCAGTCCAACATTACATTTCATAGCGATAACCCATTTCTTTGTTCGTATTTCAGTTTACAATTTGACCTTCTTTCATCATAATTTATCTGTTACTTTCTGAATGTTATTCCGCTGCCCTCTGCCCCCACCCCCACACCACCTTGCCTCTTCCTTTTTTGCTTCAAATAGTACGAGAAAAGCAACATAAGCAACAACAGCTTTCCCCCCCCCAGAAATACCAAATATTCCCAGACTCCATTTCCATACCATAAGCATACATCTGAGCATAGTTTTCTTTCTTGTCTAAAACCGTCTACATTTTTTTGCGAGCTTCACTTTGTCGTTTTCTGCTTTTCTATTCCGTTGCACATTTCTTCATTCGTCTTAATTGTTCTGTCAATCCATTTGTCCAGAAGCCATTGACTTGTGCCTATGCCAAAATGAAACATGCAAAAGCAATATTTCAAGTATGCAGACGACATCTCCGTTCAAATGTCAAGCATCTACATCCATAAACAAAAACTGTTTGGCTGTGGCATAGCTGCAAGTAACAACATCATCTTGCAGAATTCGTTCAATTTGAATGAGGGTGTTCATCCCCCTTCACCTCCTCCCGAAAAAAAAGAAAATGAAAAGAATCTTCTGTCTGTTTATCTTTCCTTGCTTTCTTTTCTTCTTTTTGCCTGAGTATTAATTTTACATTTATTTTCCAGCAGCTGTCTGATTCTCTTTATCTCTTTCTCTTCCTCTCTCTCCCTCCCTCTTTTTCTCTCTCCCCCTCCACCCCCCCCCCATCTCTCTCGTTTTCTCTTTAGCTCTCTCTGACTTTCCCTCGTTCATAGTCTCACACGGTATCTTCAGTTATACTATTTCTTACTTCAATCGTTGCCTCCCTATCCTCTATTCTACCCCAAAAACCCAAAACAAAACCAAAAAAAAGACCAAAACAAAAGAAGAAAAAAAATCTCTATTTTTATGTCTCCCGCATCCTTCCTTCACTCATCGTGTTCCAGTTTTTCTCTCTCCGTCTAACATTATAAAATCACATTGCACTACTAAAGTATTATCTTTTCCCGCTGTCATTTAAAAAATAACCATAATCAGCAAAGGGCTTTATTGAGTTCATTTTGTACTTCGTTCTATTTATTCGTCGGCAAAGTCCGATCCACTTTTTTTACATTACCCCTTTTCCAGTTACTTTGTACTGAACGAACACTATCGAAAGAGAGGTCACACCGTCAAACCATTCTGGAAGGAATCAAAGTTAAAGTGGAACTGGACTATTTATTGTTCTGTTCACATTTCCATGAAAGAGCAAACGTCTTCAGATTTTCCTCTTTGCCGGCCTCTTTGTCCATTTCAATTCACCATTACAAACCAACAGCATAGTATATCCATTAGCCAGAAGCGTGAACTATTAACGTGTGAAAGTGTGGCAATGAAGAAAATAGGGCACAGTATTTCTCGAAAAAATAAAGATTGAAAAAATACACACGAAAATTGTGCAAGCAATCATATTATAATTTATTATTATGGTTGCGGATTTGATGACTTTAATGACACACAAGGACGCCCCTTTACTCAAACATTACTACTGCATAGGCTTATACACCCCCTTATAAAACAACTAAAAAAACCCCAAGAAATCCCCCGTGTTGTTTCGTGGATTTACATTATGTTACTTTCCGTCGCTGAATAAGGGAAGGTGATACGAGAGCGTCAACGGTAGGTCCTACTTCTTTTCTTTCCCTCAGTTATTTCTATGTCTGTCTTGTCTTTTCTTCACGCCCATTGAGAGTTATCGAGCTGATGATAGTATGTTTCTATGTCTGTCTCGCCTGTTCCCCACACCTAAAGAACCGTATCAAGCAGTTATGTTTCTCTTCATACGCAAAATCATTCGTCATCACGCTCATAAGATTTAATGCCAAAGATATTTTAGCCATTTTGAGAAAATCAGAAAAAAATCTTTCTTTTGAAACAACTGACTCCGTGAAAAGCTTGAATTTTGGTGCACTCAATTGATTTTATATTTTGACTATTCTTTTGTCCAAGTGAAGTATATTACCAAGCTGGTTCTGCTCTTCATTTCAGAACAACAAACAACCCCCCCAAAAAAAAACACAAAAACAAAAACAAACCCAGAACAAAAACAAACACGACAAAAAGACCCCCCCCCCCAAAAAAAAAGAAAGAAAGCCTGAGGAAATCCCATTTTCAACCTGAAAATAACAGATTGCTGTATTCATCATATCTCCACTGACCGTAAGATGTTCCACACGTGGTTGGGCATGTAGCACATGAAGAAAACGATCACGACGACGACCAACATCTTAGCTGTGCGACGTCGGGCCATCAGTTGTGACGTCACAGCCCGTTGGTCTCCCTCTGTGGGATGGAATAGAAAGAACAACTGAAACGACCCTGTTATTTGGTCGCTTTTAAGGACAAGCGGGCTAACCCAGATTTCGGGGGTTTCCAGAAATCTTGACCTACACCAAAAGTGAGCATTGCCCTACCTGTAGGAGAAGTTTGGTTTCATTGGTGTGTATATTTGTTTGGTTATAGAGAAAACTCTCCTTGACTTTCAAAGAAACTGAACAAGGGGTAAAAACTTTACCTTCGATTTTTCTCAAGACAGCATTTTTTCGGGAGAGCCTCCTCGTGCTTAACAGCGATCATTTGATAGTTTGATTAATTTACAGCAATACATTCGATAAAGCTTGACATGTTGTGAAACTGAACATTTTTAATGTCAGATATTTCAAAACTAGGTACTGAGCAGGTATAACTTTGTAACTTTTGGGTAGCGAAGTTTAACAAGGAACTGTAGCGTTAGGAAACTAAAACTAATCGTAGAGCCGATGCCTACAATCATTATCTAGACAAACATTATTTTATCATAAATCTTCACAAAAATAAATCCCCAACAACATGGTATTATAAATCTTGTTAATTGCAATTTATTGACGCTTTGGGGCTGAAGGGACTTTAAAAAAAAAACCACAGCACATTAAACTAGAGTGAACATTCATAATTGTTCAATTTCACTCCAATGAACTCCTGTGCATACTGGGGAATAAAAGAATATGTGCCATTTTTTTGCTTTCCTTACGACATAAAATATTCCGAGGTGACCTTTTAATACGTTGTGAATTAAAGGAGCATTTGGGTGCTGAATTTGCCTGAATTGTTAAAATAAAGAAACATTAGAATGGCCAGGGGGGTTGTTTGAACCCGGGCAGCCCTGCTCAGGATTAAAAATAGAAGCGAGTTCCAGGATAATACCAGTTGACCTTGTGTTTCTTTTGGGAGAGATAAATCACAAATTCTTCCATCTGCGAAACTGTAATAATCAACGCATTTTGACACGAGTGCAGAAAGGGAATATTCGACAGGTTTTTGGCACTTCTGCACCACGGAAGAGCTATTCTTTTACTCGTGTTTTTGTTTTAGTAAGAATTTTACCGCACTTGCAACGCATTAAGGTCATATAAGTGCCGTAGATTAGAGGGTTTACAAGAGAGTAAAAAACATGACCAAAAAGAAGGAGGAGAGATCAGGACGATAGATGTTTGATGGGAAAGAAGGAGCAAACCATACCAGAGCACCCGCCAACCACCCACTGACTCGTGTAGTCAGTTACAGTAGGCTGATGAACACAGCTAGATGATATAGGCTGCATTTCTTTTAGATTATCGATAACTACTGCTTCGTCGAAACACCAAGGAGTTTTTTTTTCTCTCTAGATTTTAAGTTTTTTTTCCCAAACACACGCTTTTTGTACACGAAAAACATTATATTCCTATGTGCCCCCC